CTCACCCTTCTCCCTGACACAGGAAATAGAGCAGACTTAAGCTCCTCCTTTGGTGCAAGAAAGTGAAGCGTAGGAAAAATACACAAGACAAAAAAAGTAACTACTTCATCTTGTGTTTTAAAGAAAACTAGATCAGAAATTAAGAAAAGAAGAACAGATTCTGAGAGAGGAAGCGGAAACAACAGGAGAAAGGCAAGTTCGGCCTGACAGTGCTGCTTTAAGTTTATCTGTTACTAGAATTTGGCTGAAACTTAAGACAGATTCAACAAAAAAAAACAACCTCAAAACAACATACCCATAGGAATTCTCATGCAAGCAAAAGTAATCATCATTCTTCCATAGTACGTTTAATAAATAATTTAAAAATATTTAAAGTAGGACTGCAAGTTCTAGGTTTTGATTTTCTTGAATTAAGGAAGACATGGACTTCTGTCTTAGACCACAATCACTATCATTCTTGATAAAGGCTTAGAGGCAGAGCAAAAACATTGCTTTGACTAATAAAGTCCGCTCACGAACATAACTTTGAGTGCACAGGCATTTTCTTCTATGGTACCTGGGACTTGCCCCTTCCTGCCGGGTTGTACTGGTCTTGGTCCACCGAAGAGCGTGGATTTGATATCAAACGCAAAAGGATGACCAGTGTCATATTTCCTGGGAAAAGGCGCACGTTTTTCTATATAATACAATGGACCTGACAGGGCATATTCTCACTAGCTGGTTTGTTAACACACTCTAGCAGTGGAGCATTATTTTTGTTGGTCTAGTAACAAGTACCATGCTTGCTTTTCCTGTAAGTAGAGGGAAAGGTAAAGAAAACTAATATTAATAGATTATATTTTTTTCTGTCTTTATGGCCCTAATTACCTCTACTGGAAATCTGTGTTACAGAAGGCAAGCAATAAACCATCTAGTTATATTCCTACAATACTTTCACAGTAGTAAAATATTAAAGACATAAAAAAAATCTCTATTATATATAATATCTTAAAGGGTATCATGCAAAGAGGGGGGGGGGAGGGGAAGCAATCCTAATAATTAAAGGAACACTACAGTCACCAGAACAACTACAGCTTATTGAATTGAGAGACATGATCAATAAGATGTGATTTTATTTATTTCTTAAATTAACATACCGGTTACAGTACTTGTACTGATGTCACTGGATTCAGATAGACTAGGAAACACTTCTACTGGTTTCATGCTGCACTTATTTCTGATCATTTTCTCCTAGGTATTGAATAGGATGTTAAATGGTAACCCCCCCCCCCCTTCCTGCAACATTCATGTATAGACTGGATTGGCCCATCTTTACAATCCTTTTGCGGTCAGCCGCCACGTCTTGAGTGTATCTACATTTTTTTTCACCACGATCTTCCGATACGTTGACAAAAATCCTCCACAATGTGCCACACGTGTCTCTTGCAGCTGGCTGGATGTCTGTATTAACTTTTAGATGCAGAAGAGGTCACTCACGTAGCAGGAAATTCATCACATCAAAGAAACATTTTAAATCTATTATAACGAGGCCACCTTTGCTCTTCTCTGATTACTTGGCTTGTGTAGGTTGATACATACTAAAGTGACACCCACCATGTTCCAGTGGTACTCATTCCTCCCCCTAGTGTTGCAAGAGCACTTACCAAAATTGACACATCTGCATCAATTCAACTGCAGTCGCACCAGTATTGATTAATCATTTTTCTGGATACAAACTAACCTAAAATAACTCAAGCCACAACCTTTGTACCCTTTTATACATTTGTGTTGGTGTATTGTTTGCCCCATTTGTGGTTTTACAAGCCCTTATGTGCATCATGCTGCTGTTTTAAGATTGTCCGTTCCTGCTCCGGATATGTCCTTGACCGAGCTTTGTCCAGACTTTCAAAATTAGTATTAGTCCTGATTACATGCATTCTTTTAGTGTATTAGACCTCTCTTGTTAATCATTAGAACAAACTTTATAAGTAAATATAGTTCGGATAGTGTAGTAAGAATAGTTTATCCTGGCATGAATTTGTTAGTGTTCATTTTGATGCTTTTTGGTATCTACCAAAGTATTAAGCTTACCCACTTCAAGGTGCAGTAATACACCTATAATTTTCTCCTTTTCCTTTGGTAGGTGGCAGACTTCTTGCAGAGAATCTTCTCATATCATGACACTTGTGTGACGCTTTAGTACCAGCAATTTGCACATTTTCTCTGTTTTCCAACCAGTGGACCTTCTGTTCCTACCTCCACTGTCCCCTTTATTAAATACACAAGTCACCGCCCCCAGTCACAGTCCACAAGTCATTAAGGATCAGACACAGTTGTTACCTTTGCACTCAAACTCTTCAAAACAAACAAACAAACAAAAAGTGCTGTGTATTTAAAATAAAAATGTCACCCAAATAATTTGACCCAACACGATCTTTCTAGAATCCCCACCTTCTGAAAAGGGAAGAGCAATAGTATAAATCCATATGATATTGTTACAGTTAAGGTGCAAACAAGGGCTTACTCCAATGCATGGTGCTGTAGCCTACCTCGGATGGGGAGCTCACTTTAGTAACCTTAGGGTTGCATTTGGCCCTTTAATGTGATATCCACCATGTGCTGATATTGAGATATTGCATTTGGTCTTTTAGTTTGCATGGAATTTTAAACACTCAGCCCACATTTAACAGAGCCGTGCTCATGTCGAGATTGATTGGTCCCATCTTCTGATGGAGTTTATATAGCATGATAAAAACCTTTCAAATAGCGATTACTATAATACTAGAAGTAAGAATACAAGACATTTTTCTCCTCTACATTAAGGCTTTTTTATAAAATGGAATATGTTCTTCTAGATTTAGATCTTTTGATTCAAGCAGTTGGTTAGAAAATGTATTTACATTTTTTTTTTTGCCAGTTTGAGAAAGGCTCATACTGTGCGTTCTGGTCTGTTATGAATTACTATACATTTATGTATTAAAACACAAGTTTTACATGTAGTGTATAATATTGTAACATGGGCACCCTTCCCAATCAAGAGTCAAAAATGATGACCTAGTTACTTTGTCTCATGATGGTTATGGAGTTGTTCATGAATCTAGCAGTTGCTGCTACCTGTGTCACAGGACATTAATGGCCTTCTATGATTCTTGCAAATTATTCATTATTTTGGTACTAGAAGAACGAGATAAAGTATAGACTGTTTTAGAAAGAGCGTGGATTGTTGTTATGTTTTTTAGGTTGATTTGCAAATGAAAAAAAAAACTTTTTAAAGATTGAGAAGAGATTTGACCAACAAGGACAAACTTTATCTAGGGATCTAAATGTCTTTACAGAAACACTCATGTTTTATCTAGAATTGATTTTTGTAACCGGTTATAAATACTTTATATTACTAGCGCTCAACTAAGGTCAAAATCGCCAATATGGAAGAATAGCTGATTTTTCCAGTTAGCGTATTTTGACCTTAACTTTGAAAGTCACTTTAGTAAATCACCTAGTCTATGCAACCAGTTTGAGTGATAAGAGCAGATACAAGTATAGGCTAAATCAGGGGTGCCCAATAGGTAGATCCCCAGGTGTTATAGAACTACATCTCTTGTGGTGCTTTGCATTCCTTTAGATTGACAAAACATTATGGGAGTTGTAGTTCAAATATCTGGGATCTACCTTTTGGGCATCCCTGGACTATATATAGCAAAAACTGCTAAAAAAAAATAAATAAATAAAAATAAATAAATAAATAATCGCAGTCCTCTTCAATAATTATAGATTGTTTTTTCCAAAACTCTTGAATTATATAGAATATTGCTTGTGATCTAGCATATCTTGTTATGCCTACTCAAGTATATTTATTTTTAGTGCTTCTCTTGATCTGTTCTTGCTTTGTGAGTTTGGGTATCTCTAGAAGCATCACTTATATGGCCATCATAATAAGCAAGGAATGGTTTTCTTTTTAGGCATTATCCAAATGAGCTCCCAAGTGAGGGCCTTTATCACTGCGACCCAGAGTTACTTGCCCACAACATTGATGGAGATTCAGAGGAGATAGAAAAGGGTTGCAAAAACAAAAAACAAAAACACAAACACACACCCCTCAGTAAGCCTGAACACTAAGTTTACAGTACTATTTAACACAAAAAAAAAAAATTACATAAAATAACTGCATGCAAGTGATTAACAACTATCCCATATGGAAATTCTGCTGATTCAATTGTAGTTTTACGGAGGTGTGTTAGGAGTCTTGATAAGGATACGGTTCTGGTAATGTTTCAGAAGTTCAAAACCCATAGGACCCAGAGAATTCAATACAGGAAAAAAAAACAAAAAAAAAAAAACGAACACACACACACTCACATTCACCGACAGACACAACTGCACAAATCTCTCCCCAGGTACAATGGGGAGAAAACCCCAAAACAAAACTCAAGTTCACGGATAGAGGCTGGTCAGTAAAGAATAAAACATTACACACTATTTGTTTGTTACAACCTTTCTACCCTTATATGACATTCTATTTGATTAAATGTTTTTTTATTTTATTTTTTTTCTGGGGTTTTATGTAACCAGTGACATGAGGAGTAACTTGTTTGTGTATCTTAACTCCTCCATACAAGATGGTGTGTAAATGGAAAGTGTGGTACTTGTTTATTTAGTCCTATCATGATGCATTTTAATTCTTTATATTTTAAAATGTATTACTTGCATTTCAATACTTTACATAGCAAAGCACTAAAGTACATGTGAAATTACTGGCCTAGTCCTACTCCCATTCACTTGAAAAGGAGGGCAATGGTGGATCGGATCAGCCACTTGCTTGTTTAATTTTTGCAAATGGATTACAAATACAGGAATAATAATTTCTAGGCCAATACCAAGGCCATGTGATAGGTTCAGATTTACCCATATTATCGAGATGTAAAAACTACCTGCCACGAAGGGAAATACTCGATAATGGCATTGCCCTCCACAGGTGTGAATAAATAATTCCACTGTAACAAAAGCAAAAAAAATAAATCTAATGCGGCACCAGAAATCTTTTTTTATTCCCAACAGCATTGCAAAAATGGTGTACAGATTCCAGTCTGTAACAGTTTTCTTAATCAAAATACATTGTGAATTACCAAATTAAATTCTACAGTGTGAAAATAGTTCATTCTTTTAATAAACAACGCAAAGTGCTAAATCCCTACAGCAACATTAACCCCTTAAGGACACATGACATGTGTGATATGTCAGGATTCCCTTTTATTCCAGAGGTTTGGTCCTTAAGGGGGTTAAAATCCCCTGCTTTGGGAAGAATTTAGTCCGTGTTGTGGTTCTAGCATCAACACCAAAGCTTCATCACGCAAGATTAGAGAACATTCAAGAAGGACGTTTTTAGTAAATATTTGCTTAACATCACAGCCAAGTAGGAAACCGCAGCTGCTCCTGCACTTAGCCCCTGAAGTTAACAACAATTCCAGTTATTGCAAGTTACAAAAAAGATAAATGCATTGAAAGTATGGAATACTAACGAAAGTGCACTTAGAAAAGTATTTCAAGGATCAGTTTCAGTATCCCTATTACTATATCCTTCAGCACAGGTTTCTCCTCCTGAGATGTATCCGGTGGCATTTGTCCCTGCTTTTTTTGACTAGCTTCTACATCTTCAGGATCAAAAGAGGCATCAGCATAAGGATCATCGTAGATGGTTTTGTCATAAAATATTTGCAGCTCAAATTTACTTTCCTGGTAAAAGGGATGTCCGTAGATGCCAATGCCCACTGGCCGGCTGAAATGATCTGGCACAGTAATTATGTCAAGCCCACATGTTGCTGACTGCAGCTCATATTCATCGAAGCTTGGATGCAGGGTTGCAGCAGATACGTACAAATCAGCATCGCCTGCAAGACACTGCATTTGGAGTATTATCTTTCCGTCATAATTTAACCCAAAATAACTGTAGTTCCCTGCCCCTATTTGTCCCTCGACTACATGAAGGAGCGTCCATTCATCAGGAACTTCTTCGTCTGTTGTGCACTCTATTAGAAAAAGCTTGTAGGATGCTAAAAGGAGGAAAAGGATTCTTCTCCAGTATGCCACCATATTTCTACCCGGCTTGACATCAATTTCCTGTGGCAAAAAATAAGTGAGATCAGTGGCCTGCTTGATGTGCATGACATAAGAAATTAAAAAGGTCATCTATAAACCCTACAGTATATTTAGGTGGCATGAATTCTAAAGTGTGATGAAGAATTTTTTGTTTTAACTTCAAGATTTGGTGCATTATTTAGAGAATGTTAAAGAACATATTAAAAATAAAAAAAAAATAAAAAAGTTATAACCAACCTGCAAAATGCCAATAAAACAAAAATGGTTATTAATGCCTAAAATTTGAGATCAGTTCAATAGATTTGAGTACGGCAAAAAAAATAAAAAATTAAATAAAATCAATTGTTTAGAATGGTCCAAAATTAGTTCATTTGGTATTTCCGTTCCCATAAATTTTGACCAAACTATACAGACGAACCAAAAAATTAAAACTAAAAATCAGGTAGGTTTTCTGCAAAATACATACACAATATAAATATGTATATATTTTGCAGTATACAGGTATGTGCATTTTTCTGGCATTTGTAAACAGATCAAGTAAGAAGAAGTAAACAACTGAGGAATGGGGGGGAGGTTATAGACTTTAATATATTGCAGATTTTTATTTGTTCTTTTTACTGCTGTTCTCTCGCCCACCTCCCCACCCCTTGATTTTATTTACAGATCAAGTAATAAGTGACCAGACATTTTTGCAGTGTCCCTTATTGAGCAACAATGCTCATTTCCATAAATCATTGCCATTATTGGCACCATGGATGGTACTCAACCACAAAACATGGTAAAATGAATGGAAGGATGGTGCCAGATGACTCCAGACAATATAACCATGCCTATGAGATAAAGGAAACGTGAACCTCTTTATGTTTTGACCAAATAAGAGTTTTTTAAAATGTATTTAAAAGTAAAAAATCATGCCCATTTCACTTCTTAAGGGGAAGAGGAATGGTTACCAACTCAATTCTAGCACAGTTTAGTAGTTACACGGACTCTAGGCACCCAGATCATTTCATCTCAATGAAGTGGTGTAGGTGCCATGTCCCTGTCATTTTAACACTACAACTTGCAGACAAAAAAAAACAAAACAAAAAAACAACACATTACCATTTTGCAGGAGAGGCATTTTTTTCCATTACAGGGCTAACACTATAGTTACTGTAACCAAGTAACCGCTTCCTGGGTCAGTGCTGCACAGTGTTCATGGAGACGCTTAATTTTTCCCCTCAGTGATTGAGCATGGTGAGGAGTTGCTGACTGGCCAAGCCGGCGTTTGACCCCATCCCTGTCCCACCTCCTTTAAAATTTCATCCAATCCAATGCTTTCCCAAAGGGAAAGCATCGGACTGGCTGAAAACATTTTGTTGACGTCAACTAGGAGGTTGGTTCGGGCATGGTCTGTAGTGATGGAAATAAGGTAGATTTTAAATCTAACGATACCATTATTTTCCATATTATCATAATTTACTATTAAAACATTTTTATAAAATGAATGTAAAAAAAAAAAAAGCGCTTTCATTATTTTAGAACATTTACATATGTATAACATTCATTTTATAATTTTCATTACTTTTTAGCAGCATGGGGGACTGGCAGCTCCTAGAGTCGTATTGCGGCGATGTGATCATGCTGATCACATGGCCCTGGAGGGCAGGGGTGGTCGGAGCTACTGAAGGGGGACTGCTGGGGTCTCCGGCAGCCCCCCTGACCGTGATCGCCGCAGATCGCCGGTACAGGTAAGTCCAGGGCTCCTATTTGCCACGTACATACTAGGTACGTCTGCGGTCCTTAACCTTCTTGTCGGACATATTCTGTACGTCCATGGTGATTAACGAGATATACATAGAATGAAAATAGAGATATAGATACACACACACACACACACACACACACACACACACATTATATATATATATATATATATATATATATATACACACACACACACACACACACACACCTCAAAAAAAATAAAGGGAACACTTAAACAACACAATGTAACTCCAAGTCAATCACACTTCTGTGAAATGAAACTGTCCACTTAGGAAGCAACACAGAGTGACCATCAATTTCACATGCTGATGTGCAAATGGGATAGAGAACAGGTGGAAATTATAGGCAATTAGCAAGACACCCCCAATAAAAGGAGTGGTTCTGCAGGTGGTGACCACAGACCACTTCTCAGTTCCTAAGCTTCCTGGCTGATGTTTTGGTCACTTTTGAATGCTGGCGGTGCTTTCACTCTAGTGGTAGCATGAGACAGAGTCTACAACCGACACAAGTGGCTCAGGTAGTGCAGCTCATCCAAGATGTCACATCAATGCGAGCTGTGGCAAGAAGGTTTGCTGTGTCTGTCAGCGTAGTATCCAGAGCATGGAGGTGCTACCAGGAGACAGGCCAGTACATCAGGAGGCGTGAAGGAGGCCATAGGAGGGCAACAACCCAGCAGCAGGACCGCTACCTCCGCCTTTGTGCAAGGAGGAACAGGAGGAGCACTGCCAGAACCCTGCAAAATGACCTCCAGCAGGCCACAAATGTGCATGTGTCTGCTCAAACAGTCAGAAACAGACTCCATGAGGGTAATATGAGGGCCCGACGTCCACAGGTGGGGGTTGTGCTTACAGCCCAACACCATGCAGGACGTTTGGCAAATTCGTCACTGGCGCCCTGTGCTCATCACAGATGAAAGCAGGTCCACACTGAGCACATGTGACAGACGTGACAGAGTCTGGAGACGCCGTGGAGAACGTTCTGCTGCCTGCAACATCCTCCAGCATGACCGGTTTGGCAGTGGGTCAGTAATGGTGCGGGGTGGCATTTCTTTGGGGGGGTCCATACAGCCCTCCATGTGCTCGCCAGAGGTAGCCTGACTGACATTAGGTACCAAGATGAGATCCTCAGACCCCTTGTGAGACCATATGCTGGTGCGGTTGGCCCTGGGTTCCTCCTAATGCAAGACAATGCTAGACCTCATGTGGCTGGAGTGTGTCAGCAGTTCCTGCAAGACGAAGGCATTGTTGCCCGCCCTTTCCCCAGACCTGAATCCAATTGAGCTAATCTGGAACATCATGTCTCGCTCCATCCACCATCACGTTGCACCACAGACTGTCCAGGAGTTGGCAGATGCTTTAGTCCAGGTCTGGCAGGAGATGCCTCAGGAGACCATCCGCCACCTCATCAGGAGCATGCACAGGTGTTGTAGGGAGGTCATACAGGCACGTGGAGGCCACACACACTACTGAGCCTCATTTTGACTTGTTTTAAGGAAATTACATCAAAAGTTGGATCAGCTTGTAGTGTGTTTTTCCACTTTAATTTTGAGTGTGACTCCAAATCCAGACCTCCATGGGTTGAAAAATTTGAATTCCATTTTTTAATCTGTGTGATTTTGTTGTCAGCACATTCAACTATGTAAAGAACAAAGTATTTCAGAAGAATATTTAATTCATTTAGATCTAGGATGTTTTATTTTTGTGTTCCCTTAATTAAATATATAATGGAATAAAATGACAGAATTTTTTTAAAATTATTTTTACAGTATATATATATATATATATATATATATATATATATATATATATATATATATATATATATACACACACACACACACACACACACACACACACACACACGTGTGTGTAATTTTATATATTAATACATATTCACACATTTTTAAATTAAATAAAAAAAAAAAAAATTTACTTTTATTAACTTTATTTTTACTTTTTCACCAGCAGGGGGACTGCCTGTCAGTTCATGCAGTCCCCATGCTGGCAGCACTGGCCACCTGGGGGTCCTACAGTGCAGAGGAGGGGACTGTCTGGGCTCAGAAGAACACAGATCACCAGCGGGGGAACAGCAGCTATTGGTAAGTACATGGGGAGGGAGATGGGAGGGAGGGTAGAGGGTTAATTTTTTTTAAATTTAACTTTTTTGTAATTGTATTTTTTTTTTAATTATTATTTATTTATTTATTTACTATTACTGAGTGCCTCGACCCCTCGAGGCACTCAGTACACACAGAGTATTGGAAGCCTGCATGATGGCTTCCGTGGCTCTGCTCTACACTGCTGGACGCCACATGCAGCAACCCGGACGTGATCGCTCCGGGGGTGCCCGAGAGTGTGGGGGCTATTACAAGATGCCTCGATATCGAGGCATCATGTAATACCCTTACAGCAGTTAACTTTTTGGGCTGACGTACCCTGTACGTCCACGGTCGCTAAGGAATTAAATAATGCTTAATGGAATTAAATGAGGGTTAATGTATTTAGAAGGCCACCGGTATGCATCCTGGTAGCATTTAGAAGCATAGCTCTCTCCAATTCTCTTTTTTTCCTCACTAGAGGCACAATGGATTGTAGGAGATTGCAGGTGATGTCAGTATGGATGCTGATTTCACTGTAAGTTGTGGCACTAGAAACGAGTAGAGTGCATTTCATTTTACAGCAAAGTGGGGTCTAAAACTGTTCATTTCAAGACTATAAACTCCCTTTAATATATTTTAAATATCTTGTTTCCAGCATGGAGACTTTAAACATAATTCTGTTGTGGGATGGGTTGTAACAATTCAGGAAACCAATAGGAATCAAGTCATTTAGATAAATATTATGAAAAATAAAAATATAGCTACAGTTAAGGCCTGAGTAGACAAAGAACTCCATTATAACAACATGGAGTCCACAAGCAAAATGAACTGTTTCCTTGCCTTATTCCCCAGACACAGAATACAATTCTCAAGAGAAATATGCATGTCTTAATATTTTATTACCAAAGTGAGAATTCAAAGTGAATTTCAAGTTTAATTCCAGGGTAGCCAAACTGAAAGTATAGACAGCAGTTTGTCCAGTGTGACTATTTTCACCATAACAAATCACAACGCAGGGATTGAAATCATAACCCCTGAAACTCATTTGTACAGAATGGGCAGAATTGAACCAACAACCCTTGCATCATAAGATTCAGCACACTACGTCTCAGTTCAAAAGTTCTAAAATCTCATTAAACTGTGTTTAGTGTTGGTGTCCAGTGGTGTATATGTACATATTATTGGCATGTAAATGCAGGGTGTGAATACACTGCCACACATACATTTTTATTCCAAGCTCCACTTTCGTAAAGTTTTGGGTGCTGGAGGGTGGCTTACCAGAGGTCCAGTGTGAACTTGCTAGTCAAGGATGACAAGAGTCTGAGATTCCAGACTCCCCTACTGTGTGCCTGCTCCTGCCTACCCACAAGGTAGTGACCTGAACTCTGTTCCTCCCAGTAGGATACGGGGGGGATCTAATGCTGTGACAGGAACCTGGTCCGGTGGCCTGACTGGGGCCCTTCCGAGTCCCATAACCATATGATTGGCCTCCACTGTGAGCTCTACAGGCCGTATGCAGCCCACATGTTAGACAGTCCTGCTCAAGACAATTCATACTTTAGTGAATAATCTGGACAGAGCTCCCCCCGATTTAATAATCCAAATGTGCTGAACAGGAAAACTAATCTACATATTTCTTTATCAGTTTACTAGCATGAATTTCACTGCCTGTAGATTAGCGTTGGACAGGTTCACTTTAAAAAGTTAAGTTTGCAGAACCATTCTGGATTTTTATATTCCATCAGTCCTGCGGCAGAATGTTTTTGGTTCTGTGTGGTATACACAGAAGGGGAGTATCCACAACTAACTGTATTGATGAGAAAAAAAAAAAATGGAGCAGTTTGGCAAAGTAATTAAATATGTTGCAGTTTGTGGTGTCCAGTTTCATGGATTGCTTTCATAAATGATATCATCTCCCAGTGCTGAACTACTCAAATAGGGGACAACCAAGAGTTGCTGATACATGTCTGATGTCTGATGCTAGTTTGTGCTGTGACATCCCAAAAGTGTGCCATGGGATTGCACTATGGGGACTATTAAGGAGTGAAGTACACTGAATTCTTGTTTTGTTCACGTAACCATGAAGGATATTGCTCTTTGTTATTGTGTTGGAAATAGCCATTAGAAGAACGAGAGACGTTAGCTCTAATAAATGCACATGGGAGGTAGTGGCATTTTAATAATACTCAGTTTGTATCAAAGCAGCATGGTCATTGTCAGGGATCCGCGGGCGGCTAGGAGGGGAGGCTGCACGCCACTTGCAGCACTCACCCTCAGTCCATCGCCGCCCGCGGTCTCCCCTCTGCTTACCTGTCGGCGAGCGGCGTCTCCTCTCTGCCGCTCGCCGCCCCCGTCCTCCACGCCCCCCAGCGGCAGCATGTATAACGCTGCACGCTGGAAGGTCACTGAACTATGTAAACGCCGGGGTCACGTGAGTGACCCAGCGTTAAAGGGACAGTACCACAATCACAGTGGGAGGTATAGATATCCCCCACGTGTGATTGTTAATTCTGATTGGAAGTTATCCAATCAGAATAAAACCAAGGGTATTTATACTTACCTTTCCTGTCCCTCAGTGCCCTGTTGTGGTCTTGTGATACCTGTAGCGTAGTGTTCTCGTCTTGCTCTCTGGTTACCGATTACTTGGCTCGTTATTCCGATTATCCTGTCTTCTCCACTCCTTTGACCTCGGCTTGTTTCTCGTTCTCTGTTTTCTGGCTCCCTTTACTTGGCTTGTCTCCTGACTATTCTTAGCGTGCTTAGCCCGGCCACTCTAAGGTCCGGTACGGCACCTTTTCTGTGTGTGTGTGTGTGTGTGCCAGCGTGTTGGGTTCTCCGAATCGTGACAGTCATCAAAAAAAAAAAAATACTTCTGACGGCATTGGAATTTCACTGAAATTCCAACCCAGTCAAGAGAAATACAGAGAATGTAGAGACTAAATTAAATAGGAGAGGGACTACTTTGTCTCTGTATTTCTCCTCCGCCTGGCATTTCCTGATGTCATTATTGGCTGGGTTTATGGCGCATCCCATGGTATTCCCATAGGCCTCAAAGCAGTATTCTCTTTAATGAGCGATAGTACAGCAGTGACGTCATTGAAGAGGAGTAGCTCAATCAAGATGGCAGCATCAGACAGGTTCAGTTAAGTAATCTCATCCTTGCCTGCCCCTCTCCCCCCACTCGGCCACTGGACTACCAGTGGCGATATCACCGTCTGGGACTTTGCGAATTCGGCTTGACTGCGAAAGTGCCGCTTTAATGCTAGGAATTATGCCAAGAAAATAATGCCCAGAAACTATTACATCACTATTTGCCTAAAGAGAGGTTGACACTAGACAGAATGGATCCAAGGATTTACAGGGTTTACACCCATATTTTTACTAATCTTCTACTGTCTAGTTTTGGTGAATCATTGCACGCTGTAGCCTCAGCAGACAGAAATTATGCATTTTTAAATCCAGAGATGCTCTTTTGTATAGCATGGGTTATTTAATCTGTGAACACGAAACACAATTTAGAACTGCAATGGTTATAGGAAAACAATTTTATTTTTTTAGCGACATGAAATCCTTCTATATACCTTTTACTCATTCCATGCATTGCAGTTTTGTCCTAGTGCAAACTATTTTTCTGAGCTACAAAAAAGTTAGAATAGGTAAATTAAATACGTTACAAGGAAGCAGCCAAAGTTTGAAAATAAAATAATTAGTCCTGCATATAACAGACAGCGAGACGCTTTGATCTATATTGAAATCCCTCACTGAATCAAGTTTCCGAGTTTTGTTAGCAAAGCATTTTCTGACCTTATTTATTGAGCATTCCTTAACTACAACATTAGTTTCTGTACATTTTGTTAGCTTGCAATTCTGTAGACTGAACAAAGAGGCTGGTCTCCAGGGGCCTACGGTCTTTGCCTAGGTCCAGTGAGGATTGTTTGAAGATTTAGGCAAGGCTGCAAGTCATATAAATAAGAGATTCTGAGTTTGAAAGATGTCTGCATAATCTATTTCTTTCACCCCCTCGTTTTCTTTTTGTCTGAGCAGCTTTGAGACTACCATCTTTCATATAAAATACGCAAGTGATCGGGTAAGAAAGGCTTTGTAGTGGCTTGCATTAACATGTACAAATTTCAGCATATTTCACTGATGGCAATTAAACTACATGTATGACAACGTACCTATTTGCTTGCGATATTGATCGACTGGGGTTCTTGTTGATGCCGCATCTTTTCTACCCATCTTCTATTCCTACCATAAAGAAAAATGAGGGGGGGTGGGGGGGGAAGGTAAATCAATATTTCTTAAAGGAAACAAAAAAAAAAAATGTAGAGCATTTAGCATTGCAATGTACAACATGATGCATCAGTTTTTTGTTGCATTAACTGCGAATTAATTGTATTACAGCATCATCCATCACTCAAGCTTGATGTTTATGTCTAAGTGACTACTCCCTGTCTAAAGGTCGTTACTGGATCCTGATACATACAATACTATTTTCCAGCATCGGAGAGATAAAATAGGAACACAAATGAAGCGTACCAGACTAGGTATGTGCAGTGCCATGCATGGCACCAAAATAAAAATAAAAAAATGATTTAAAAACGGTTTCCATGTTTTTAAGGGACACTGCTCCGTGGCAGGGACAGATAGATAGAGATTGTAGTGGACTCTGATTGCATGGGTGTTTGCGTACGTGCATGGACACTTATGGATGCCAACGGCTCTGATGAAGCAGTAGGCATGCTTGTTTCATCATATCAGCTAGTAAAAAGGAGTGCATGTACAATTCATGGCAAACAAGACCTGAAAAATAAGAACAGGGAAATTTGATAGAATTGAAGACCAATGATCACCATGTTTACCTAGAGAGAATGGTCTGTCTATGAGCAATTGCTGCCTATTGTAGAGAGAACGTGATCACAAATAACCTGAGGTGTTCATTCTGAATTTGAAGATTTCAACAAGACAGGATCCCATTGCTGTACGGTCTTATCTGGCTGTCTGAACAGGTATGCAATCACAGCATGTCAACCACTATCACGGCCAACCAAAAAAATCCTGCCTCTGAGAAGACTGACTAAATAGTAACATTAAAGATGGCAGTAGGGTATTCCAACAGATGTAAGAATTTTAGGTTAGCTGCTTTGTGAAGGAGTCAAAAAAATAAATTTAATACACACACAGAGATCCACAATATTAAAAACTACCTGCCTAATATTATGTAGGTCTCCCTATGCAGCCCCCCAAAAAATAAAAAAATAATTTAAATCACTGATGCGTCAAGGCATGGACTCCACCAAACCTCTGAATGTGTCCTATAGTATGTGGCACAGTGACATTAGCACAATACCTGGGATATGCTGTGTGCACAAAGTGGTTTATTTGAAGGACAGCAACAGTTTCAGGGTACAACCCTTCGTCAGTGCACATACCTTTACAAAACAAAGCAAAATCACCAAACAAAAAGCGCTTTAAACCACCTGCCCTTTGATAATTGCTACCACCAAAAAAAACAAAATAAAAAAAACAAACCAAGGTGAGTTTAGAGCTTCATGACACTTCCCAGCACCATATTACATGCGGTCCTTGGTAATCTCAAAATAGTGTGTGACACCACATATGTAATTATGGCACGTCAGCCGTTACTGTAGAAACCACTATACTTTTGTGGTTTGTTTGTTTTGGTTTTTTTAAACCAGTTTTAAGCAGTTTATAAGTGTATTTGTTTCCATAGTAACAGCTGACGTGTCCGTCACACACTGTAGCGAGTTTACCCAGAACCACATGGGGAGCAGCAAGATGGCGCTGGAAGCAGCATGAAGCACATACATTGCCCACTGAAGCTCCAGAGCCAATTGGAAAGAGAAGTGGGAATTTTATTTATTTATTTACTCTCAGCCCCCATCCACACACTACAAACAGCTCCCTTCCTTTCCCTCCACTCTGCCCCCCTCTTCCCAAGCCTAAAAAGAAACATTTAAAATTATCTGCCTTTTTTAACCCTTAAGGACGGAGGCAATGGTACAAGTTCTGATCCAAAAAACAAAAATTAAACCTAGAATTTGCGCTGTCTGTTCAACCAAAATACACCACTTTCATATTAAATGCACCCACATTTGTTATACATCATTTTGTTCAGGAGAAACAGGGCTTTCACTTCAAATATTTATATATCAAACAATTTAATACAAATCTTAAAAAAAAATTAATATTTTCACTGGAAAGGTCATAATACAGTTGGCTTTTACTGCAAAAAAAAAGGTACACATTATTCAGCAACGTCTCACGAGTACAAAAGTAGCCACTCCATGTACAGGTTTTTTGGGGGTTTTGGAAAGTTACAGGGTCAAATATTGGGCGTTCCCTTTTTCAGTTTTTACACATTGAAATTTGCCAAATTGTGTTGCTGGGCCTATGATGCCTTTGAGACAGTATGGCATGAAAATGACCCCCATCATAACTTTCCATTTGAAAAAGTTGATAACTCAGGGATTTCAAAATTGGGTATGTCCAGTCTTTAATAGCCCGTTATGAACGCTTCTTTGGCCAGGGTTTGTGAATATTTGTTTTTTGCATTTTTCACAAAAACAAAAAAACTGTCCTTTCCCCAACAATATCACTACCATTACACGTTTAAAAAAAAAAAAAAAAACACACCACACACTAATTTGTGTTCAGCAATATCTACAACAGTAGATATAGATAACTGTGCAGGGACGTGTCTTCCGCGAGGCAAACAAGGCATCTTGTGAGCACCCCCCTGATGCGGGCAACGAGGGAGCATACCTCACATGAGCACTTCCTGCTCAGCTCCCTCCGCACCGCTTAATGAAGCCGGGATATGACGTCCAACCGGCATCACTAAGCGTCGCCAACTCAGCCTGTGTGCCCCCTGCCTGCCCAACCAGCAGCACCACTGGACAGGTAAGGCAATCCACTCCAGCTCTCCCAGGGAGGCTGGGTGGATTTAAAGTAAAAATAAAAATAATAAAAATGTGTGTGTCTGCAAGTGCGTCTGCGCAGGCGTGCAAGCATCTGTCAGTGAGTGCATATATATATATATATCATGGTTTGTCAGTGTATATGAGAGTATGTGTCTGTCAATGAGTGTATGCATCTGTCAGTGAGTGAGCGTCTGTCAAAGTGCGGCCTTGACCGGAAGGGGTGGGGAAAATTTTAATTAAAGGGGGAAGGGGGGTTCCGAGTACCGTCCTGCCTAGGGCAGCCCAAATCCTTAATACACCACTGTGTATGTGTCTTGGTTGTCAGGCAGTTTCCTAAAATAGTAATTCATAAGATCAAATAAGGTAAAATGATTACATTAAATATACAGACAGAAGAGTTTTTAATTAAATATATAAATAACATGGCACTGAAGGGCCGGATTGGCCGCATGGGGACCGCTTGGGTGGTCAGGCAGTTCCCTCCTGATCCAGGTCACCAGAGGGAAAGTATGAATTGGCAGGGGGGGGACCAGCGATCTGCAGGGCGTAGTATGCCTCCCTGCAATGATAAAGCCCGCATTTTGTCGGGCGGCTTAGGATATCCTGTTGCGTTGTCAGGTTATATGCAAAACAACTTTTTGAGAACTTTTCACAATGAAATATCTAAAAAGCGCATTTTATCCAATGGCATTCTAAAGTAGTACTGAAGTGAGAATAATTCTAGCATAGTACAGCATGAGGTTAAATAAAAAGGATTTGAGTGGCTGTTCTGAGATTCAGATCATTGCTTACACTGCCTGCTGGATAATCCCATTAACTGCCACTGGCATAGCCTGATAACCATTTATTACAAAATGTCGCCGGCAAAAGATTCACAGACTATAATTTTAGCCCTGCCAATAAAACACGTCCAAGTGTGTGATGACGGCTTTTCTTGCATTAGTATAAAAGTGGAGAAAAAATAAAATATATATAAATAAATAAATAAATAAAAACACCTGTTACACCAGCTACTTAACCCGAAAAATATCAGCTTAGTTTATCTGCACAGAGGATCCAAGGTACGAATCTCAGATAAAATGCTGCAACTTCTTTGTTCTTCAAAAGCGATATGGTAATTTATCATTCATTTTTTTCCCCCCCCATAGTGGACAGCTGGATGAACGAAAACACACACACGCATTTTTACTCCCTCGCTTATGAGAACTAAACAGAGGAGACATTACAGCATAATTAATATTTAAAGTAAAATGGCCTTAATATTTAGCAACATTTTCCTGAAAAGACACAGACAAAAAACAAACAAACCACTTCTATATGGAATATAAAAATGTGGATTGTTTTCAAGCAAACTGAGAAATAGTGACGTTTTAGCAATCCTACTTGTGATTTGTAATTAACTCCTATCGTACTCAGCCAGGATCAGTAGATGGCATGTTTGAAGCAGACACACATGAGAATGTTGCTTATCTAGCTCCTAGTTCCCAGAGGGGGCTCATCGCTGAAATTTTAAACTAGAGTATGAATCAGAATGAGCCATTACTTATTAATCTTAATGTTACAGTCAAAGTGAATTATAATATTATATTAATCTTCAAAGTAGAGAGACTTGCACCTCTTTTGATCTGAAGAGCATAGCAAAAAGTGTTTTGTTTTTAGTCTATTTTTATTTTTTTTCTCCTTTCCCTTTTTAGGCTCTGTAACAAAGAAATTGAAAACCTTGAAACTGCAATTTGTCACACTCAGATTAACCCAGGTATAAGCAATATTGACACTCAGACTAATTAAAAATTATATATTTAAAATGATTCCATCACACAGCGTTCTAAAAATGATCATGTTACAATGAATCCATGCAGTGTTTTTTCTAAGCGAAAGCATCACCGGTAAAAATTTTAAAAAGCTCAGCAGAATCACTTTTGAATTTCATAGGTTTTAGAGTTTTTCCTTTTTAAAAATAAATCACAAAAACAACAATAAATTGTAGTGAACTGAAAATAGAAACACAAAGTTTCAGATTAAAATAGCTAAACACTGTTGTGCATAGCCCTGTTCACACAAATGTGAATGAGGATGTCTGAAGGGTAGCATCTACGATATTGTTGCAATGGACAAAACATTTATAGAAGATCAAACCTCTCGGGGGAGAAAAAACAAACAAAAAAAAAATAAAAATGTTTCTGCAAGCACATCGCTCCACAAACTTAAATATGTTAAATAAAATACTTAACTTTTAATGTGTTACAAAAGGAATGAGGCCAAGAATGGTTTTAGTCAATGAACAAAAAAAATAAATACAATTAAAAGTGCTTGGGCAAGGGAGTACAAGACTCCTGACTTTTTACACTCTGCAAAGAGAAAGATTGTAATTAAAGTTAACATGAACAAATCCAACTCAAAATAAATCACTGAGATCTGCTCATGTAGAAATGCTTACACACATAATATACAAAAGTATATATACAAAATAACCAAGAGTGGGTTTATAAATTATATGACTTTAAATTTAACTGCAACATTTGAGAGCAAGTCATTCATTTCGAAATGCAGCCAGGTCACAAAATTGTTTGGGTCCATCCCAAGAACATGTTAACCCCTGAAGGACACCACTTCTGGAATAAAAGGGAATCATGACGGAAACACAGGGTCTACAATGAAGCATGATGTATAGAGATTGACAAAACTGAAATGGAGATCACCACATGGTGAGAATTGTAGTTAAAACCCAACAATACTGTTAGCCATGTCGAATATTAAATTAATCAGCAAGTTGAAGTCACTTTAACAGATTGGACCAATGCAGAGTTACACCAGCATAGGACAGCATCCAGATCTTCTTGCGTTTGGAACACGACAATTTATTCATATAGACCAGGGGTAGGCAACCTTTTAGCAGCACTGTGCCGAAATAGGATTGTGATGTCCTATAGCGTGCCCGTCCTATTTTTTTTTTTTAAACTGAGGTCTGTATGCTGCCGTTTTCTGCTTGTGTTATTTTTACTGTAATTGCTTTGTATCTTTATATTTGTGCGTATATGAGCTATTTTGTATATGTTCATTAGTAGTTTGTAGTATCGTGTATGATACCTATGAATGTGGGCTGTGTATGGGGGCTGCTTGTGGAATTGTGTGTGTGGATGGATATGTCACATTGTGTGTTTGGTAGTGTGTGTATGTGTGGGGGCTGTTTGGGGTATTGCATGTGAGAGGCTGCATGTGGGGTTGTGTGCATGTATGTGGATTGTTAGCGGGTTATGTTTGTGCGGATTGTGTGTATGTTTGCTTGCGGGCTGTTCGTATTATTTGTATGAGGGGAGGGTTAGTGTGCATTTCTGTGTATATCTAGCAGTGTGGGTGGCTTCCCTGGGGTCCAGTGGGGACCAGGCCGGCCAGGTACAGGTCAAGGACAGGAGCTGAAACAGCAGCTGCGGGCTGCTCTACTCCAGTGTGGATTCTTATTTACAGGTGCTGGGAGGAAGTGATATGAGTTAGTTATCTGAGATCACTTCCTCTATGTGCAGCAATGCATAAATTTAGGATTGTCCTTCACCACCTTTTCGTATTAGCAGATATCTGAAGTTTCACTGGGACTCCTGATAGGCCAGAGCCTGTTTGGCTCTAGCAGCCTTGAGTGCCGTGCAAAGACACCTTGAGTGCCGTCCATGGCACTAGTGCCGTAGGTTGCCTACCCCTGATCTAGACTATCAATAATGTTTTAAAATTAATAAAAATATTGGACACTAGTGACTGTTTAATAAGATTATTGCAGTAATGTGGTCTATGCCTAGAACCCAAAAGAACCTTTGTTACCTTACGACATTGACGTTAGTTACAAAAACACAATTAAAAAAAAAAAAAAAAAACATTTAAATGACAGCCAACCTAAATAAGGTCATGAGCAGGGATCAAAATAATAAAAATAAGGCCGTTTACACTGAGATATTGCAAGGAATCTAAGCAGTTATAATGCTCATCTGAAACATCTTTGAAATTACTTCTGTGTAGTGAAAGTCTTGCCCTCCACCGTACTGAAAGGGTCTATTTACATTTCACCACAATAACCTTTTAAATACATTCAGCATTGCAGTATGCCACATGTCTATTTTAATACTCTACCATCGAGATTGAGCTGCTGTGGGTAGTGCGTTGTTTGAATGGAGTCTTCAGTTTTTTTGCAGACCCATCGGCCCTGCTGTGAACAGATGTGACGGGAGGAATTAAAAACACATCTTTTATTATTTGTACAGCCTTTGATTCCTTGTCAAATGAACAATTTGACTAGAAAATAAATGTAGACCGAATTATAATGAGCCACTCTCTGGGTACTCATAAGTGGTTGTAGCAGGATTTGTAGTATGAACTATAGAATTCACACAATATTCTCAATTAAATGTGTTTAACACCATCAGCGCTGGAATGTTGTGGTGATAAAACGATTACCCAAACTCACGGATAAGGTGGCAAGTCGCAAATATTGCTCAATCATCCTCACCCTCTATTTGTTAAAATGAAGCGAGTTATATTTCAGACAGACATCGGCACTCTTTTTGACCTTGCGCCTATATTAATTTTAAAATGTCAAAACAGTGCCTAGCAAGCTTGGGACCAAAATTAAGACAAGCTTTCAAGCAGAATAGAAGTACTGTTGTCATTTGGCAGTCTCTTTATGCAAATGCATAAACTTAATATTTCAGTATGTTAGATGATGCAATAAACCAAAAAAAAATAATAATAAAGTAATATTTTTAGCCACAACAGCTATTTTATGTAGCCAACGTTTAGGTATTGCTAATTGGAACTGAACCCAAACAAGATGTTCCTCCCCAAGTTAAATTTATAGAAGAAGAGATTCCTCATGAACACACACACACACACACACACACACACACACTAACAGCAATTTCAAAGCTCAAGGAAGAAAGTCCCAGGAGGAAGCATTTCCCAAGTATGTGGATTAATCTCATAAGAGCAGGCATTTGGATGCCAAGATAGGACCGGTCAAAAATGGGTACATTGGTATAGTGGCAGGCTTATACAATGGAAGATCAAACACTATCACAAAACCCCCATTCTTTTTGCCTAGACGAGGAGTTCATAAACAAAAAGAATAAAAATACATGACATTCTACTACAACATTCTTTGAGCTTTGAAATGGTCATTTAGTGAATGAGTGGGTGCACTGGATCTTGTAGGTTGTATGAATTGGCCCCAGCAACACCATTATAATGTATGCATGTCCAGGTGACTGCAGCCCTCTGTTTTATACACAGACACACACACACACACACACTGTAACCAGACCTTAAAAGTTACTTGCCAATACAAGCATGGTGGACACATGGCACACTCACCAGGTTTAAGTTTACCCTCGACAATGGCTAGTGGACACCTACATACTAGTAGCAATGATACACACAAAAAAAACACAGCAAACAATAATGTTAGTTCTTTCCACGCAAGCCCAACTTTGCACAGAACACTGGGATGATTTCATAAAGAGTTCTACGGAGTTGCAAACGGAATCCAATGCAAATATTACAAGCTGTCCAGTTTTGAGGGAAGCTAATAAATCAAGAAGCCAGTTTTACCGTACAATAAAATGACAGAAATCAATGTTTTCATCTGTTTTAGAGACTCAACGTATGAGCAGCTTGGGAACCAGGTTGAAAATCAGCAGTTTCATTTGCTTTCCCATTTCCAACATACTTGCACACCTTTGGTCTTCATTTATTTTTATGACCTGGCAATCAATCTAAATTTTGGGTCACAGTGCGAAAAGGTCAAAGACCTCAAATTTTAAGAACAGCTGAGTCCTCCACAAAATGAGTGTAGAAATGTATAAATTCCCCACTGTGGATGGTACCTCATTAACAGTTTCAGTACCAGATGGGGTCTGATAGATTGCGGTCTAATCCATAACCATTTCTCAGATAATAGCAGAAGCACTTTCATAAGAGTACAACATTTCTTGGATTTTAAAAATAAATATGTTTTTATCCTAAGATTTTTTTTTCCTTTTTCTTCTTCACCATTTGGTAATGTACCAATACGGAAACAAATATACGTTTTTTTTTAAAGAAAGATTTGAATAGCTTTAAAAATATCAGAATATAGTCAATGCTGTTTTCTAGATAGGTGCAAGACTATGAACCCTGGGCAAGACAAGTGTCTTAATAGTCCTTACAGGATCTTTCACTCATCAATAGAGTATAAAAAGACACACTTTCACATATAGGTATTCTTCCTTTTACCCACACATTGAGAGATGCTTAAAGTGCCCGGTCAGTAACCCTCAAACCCCATTTTTTGTGAACTAGTCATATTGACAGCGTTGGAATTTCACTGAAATTCCATCTAGTCAAAAAAGATATACCAAGACAAAGTAGGGAGTCATTTGTTTCAGTACTTTTCCTCCGTTTGACAAAATGGCTGAGTCAAGTCATGTCATAGCTTACCAAGCCCCTTGCCATCTCTAGTGATGGCTGAGGGGACAAAATGCTGTAGGTAGAATGGCAGCTGAAGGCCGGACCGAAGAAGATCATGGCGATGGCTACCAGGGACAGGTTCAGTTAACAAAGACACCTTCACCTGCACCCACAACAATGTTATCATCAGGGGATCCTGCAAATGATCACTTATTATACATTTTATTACAAATATGTGACGTGTGTAAAATTAAAGTGGCTCTGTCACCTTAAACTCACCTTTCTATTGTTTCTGCTTATCTTCTACTTTTCTGAACTATTTCTCTGTAAAGTTTGGTGGTGGTGGGGGGATAAGATAAGAGGCCAGTTTTTAAAGGGGTTGGGCTTTATATGGGGTTTACCATAGTAAAAGCTGCAATAGTGTTTACGGGGGGTGAAGGCAGAAGAATGGTTACTGGTCCGGAAGAGAGAGTCCCACTTGAAACACTAAATTGACCAGCGTAAATTTATATATCACATGAGTTTGTGTAATTGTTTTGATGCATTTTTATTTATTTACCTTTTATGGCAGAAAGTCTTCCTTGTGCAAATGGAACAAATGGGGTTAAAAGTATAACGTCTACAGAAAAACAGGGTCAATATCAAACCAGTAATATCTGCGTATCTGTACAAACTTCATACGCCACGCATACAGCTTTCTGCTTAACTTACAATAGTTTGATGACTAATCCATCTTCTCCTAATGCAGAGCTGCTGATCAGTTCATCAATATGTTATGACTCTCCTGGGTTTCAGCTCCCTCACAACCTGAAGGCCATTGATTTCTACTACCCCAGGCACAATCCTCATGTAGAAATGCTATCTTAACGTGCCAGCTGAGCCCTGTGCGTTACTAGATGTAACTTGTGCAATCTCTAGGGTGAGATTAATTAGCACTTCCGGAGGATCACGTCCTCATCACAACTGTTGGTTTTGTGGGCAGCTGCAGAATGGAAAATAAAAAGGATTAAACCAGCAGCACAAAAAAATAAATAAAAAAAATAATATAATATATATATATATATATATATATATATATATATATATATATATATATATATATATATATATATATATATATATATATATATATATATTATATATATCCGAGAAAGCCCAGGCTTCCATTTAGACTGGAATGGAGAATTGAGCAGAATTTTATTGCAGTGATGTAGCAATGTACATTTGGCATCATATCTGGTCTGCAGATGTGTGAATGATAAATTCCTCTTCTGAGTAATCATAAAATGTAAGCTATACATCTGGCTAGTAAGATAGCTCGCAAATGTATGCTTTACATTAAAGGACCACTCTAGGCACCCAGACCACTTCAGCTTAATGAAGTGGTCTGGGTGCCAGGTCCAGCTAGGGTTAACCCATTTTTTAATAAACATAGCAGTTTCAGAGAATCCCCCCTAAGCCTTCCCCCTAATCCTCTAGTGGCTGTCTCATTGACAGCCACTAGAGGCGCTTGCGTGCTTCTCACTGTGATTTTCACAGTGAGAGCACGCAAGCGTCCATAGGAAAGCATTATGAATGCTTTCCTTTGTGACCGGCTGAATGCGGGCGCAGCTCTTGCCGCACGTGCGCATTCAGCCGACGGGGAGGAACGGAGGAGGATCAGAGGAGGAGAGCTCTCCGCCCAGCGCTGGAAAAAGGTAAGTTTAACCCCTTTTCCCCTTTCCAGAGCCAGGCGGGAGGGGGACCCTGAGGGTGGGGGCACCCTCAGGGCACTATAGTGCCAGGAAAACGAGTATGTTTTCCTGGCACTATAGTGGTCCTTTAACCCCTTAAAGACCAAACTTCTGGAATAAAAGAGAATCATGACATGTCACACATGTCATGTGACCTTAAGGGGTTAACAGTGTTCTGTATTAAAGTGATAATCCAAATTTAAGTCCGGAATGGGGAGGGGTACCATACTCTGCCACTAAGGAGTTAAAGCAATATGTTTATGCAGCTCTTGTCACACCTCCCTGCTGTGACTTACACAGCCTTACTAAACACTTCCTGTAAATAGACATCTAATGTTTACACTTCCATTATTGCAAATTCTTATCTTCTACTCGGTTAATAGCTTGCTAGACCCTGAAGGATACTCTTATGTAATTAAAGTTCAATTTACAGAGCAGGATTGAAAGAAATGAAACCATTTTTTTTTCATGCATACTGTCTCAGTCACAACCTGGGGAGGTGTGGCTAGGGCTGCATAAAACAGAAACAAAAAAGTTATTTAACTCCTAAATGGCAGTGAATAGCGCAGAGACACTTCAGAGGCACAATCTTTATACCAAAACGGCTTCATTAAGCCAATGTTGTTTAGGTGGCTATTGTATCCCTTTAACTTTACATTTGAAATTCACCTCCAATTCTCACCATACAGAGTTCTTCACTAAAGTGAAAATTCAAAGTGAATTTCAAACCAACAAAGATCACACTAGATAAACTGGAAAAATTCTTCAATCCAACTATGCTCCCAGATTAAGGTCAAAGTAGCCAAAAGGAACATTATAGTGCCAGGAATACAGACTTGTATTTCTGAGACAAGTGCTAAAGAGATTGTTTAGGTGACCAGCCACCTCTCTGTGGAGTAAAGAGGTGATTTTACTCAACGTTTCCCCCACACTGGTCTCACTGTGGCTGGCTCCGCCTCCATGGCTGAGATCGATCATTGTTAGGCTATTGTGCAGGAGGGGCAAAGTGCCGCACTAACCAGCATCTCCTCATTTAGATGCATTGAATCAATGCATCTCTATGGGGAACGTTCAGCATCTCCATACAGAACGTGGAGACGCTAAACGCCCGTATTGCACATTGTGCAGCATTGGACTAGGAAGCACCTCTAGTGGCTGTCTGATGTGTTACCAGCCAGTAATGTAAATACTGCCTTTTCTCTGAAACTGCAGTGCTTACAGTGCTAACACTACAGGGATAGGATATGGACACCAGAACCACAACATTAAGCTGTAGTGGTTCTGGTGACTATATTATCCCTTTACATTTAAAATTCACTTTAAAGTTTCATTTTAGTGAATGACCACGTTAAACAAAAAACACAAAATTTGAGCCCTGCAGCATATTGTTAAATAAATCTAGTGGTGTCTTACATTCAGAATATAACAATCCACTTTTCTCATCTACAAATTATTCCCCAATATTTGTAATGAACATTACACTGTGCTTACTCAGCCTCAACTGCCTCTGACCCAGTGCTTGGTATACACAGCCCATCTATGGTAAAGAAAGAAAGTGAGAGTCTAAATACCACTTGTATATTCAATGGCAAAAAAGCAAGGGCTTTAGATTCTTAATCCAATGGTACAATTCTTCATATATGGCTTTGTTTAAGTAGAACACCTGACTACACATTTAAGTTTCCATGGCTACATGTAAACACACATAAAATACAATGTGGCAATCCGTAAGGAATCTAAAACAATTCACTGTTATTACATAAAGAAGTAGACTATTGTATGTATTTTTGTAGCACAAAAAAATAATAATAATAATATATATATATATATATATATATATATATATATATATATATATATATATATATATATATATATATATATATACACACACACACACACACATACACATATACATACATACATACATACATACACACACTTTGATACCACTACACAAAATCTACTTAAAGATTCAAATAAAACCATTGGAAAAAGAAAATGTTAAGCTTAACAGCATCAGAAGAAAACTGCAATGCAATTGAAAACATTCTCTGGTGTATACATTTTATAGGTTTACATGATCCACGTTTTTTTAAACCTGTAATTCATGTTTTCAAGTCTCTTAATGCACGTTTGTCGAGACTGCATTGTGCATTAAGAAACACAATGTGTAGCACAGGGTCTCTAATCTCATGGCATCTCCGGTACAGGAGTTATACTTCTTGTACAGCAGAAGTCATTTGCTACTACCACCATAAAATCAGTTCCTCTCCCTGAAGTACTTATGCCCAGATAAAGCCTGGGTAGCCAAACCATAATATTCAGACCCCAAATTAAGTTAAATTTAATCCTCTTGTACACTGAGCAAGACTCCTATCATCACTAAGTGAGAAATCTCTGAAAATATAGTACAGGGATAGTGTGGGTACCCATGGGTTTATTTTAGTGGTTAAAGTGCTTTAAAACTGAGCGTGTTTTGGCACACTGACAAAAATCACCCATGGTCCAGTCCTCTCACCAGTTGTGGCTTAACCTACTCTCAGCCATTTGCTTAAAGTGCAAATTTAAGGAGAGCTGGTGCAGAGGTGAGCCAAGAGTCAGGAACATGTGTGCAGGGTACAGTTTGTTGGCGCCTATATAGTTACACATATCTCTAGAGTATTTCAATGGGATTGCCGAAAAAGTGGAACTGAAATTAGGGATTAACCCCCATTATGAGTTTCTGGTCATTTGCACCATTAGCTCAATATCTTTTTTGGTTTGGCTCAAAATCCCACCTATTATTGTATTGCAAATAATATACAAGATATAATTAGCACCCACATTTTTCACACCATATATTTGACAGATTAAGTAAGAAGTAGTAACCAATGGGGGGAATAATTACAAAAAGGACTTTTACGAAGGAGAGGAAAAAAAAAAAAATAAGTTAATAAATTAGCAAAGCTTTAAATGGAAAAATAAACTGCTTTGAAATGACATGCAAGGTATTAAAAGTAAATACAGACATTCATTTAGAACTTGGCGACGATTACAAAGTAAAATATTAATGGAATTAATGTCAATAAAATGAAAAATATATATTGTAGCAATAATGTGTCAAGTAAAAAAAATAAAATAAAAACACAAACTAATGTGAACCTTAAATATTACATATTGTGATCAGAAAATATGTTGGGTTTTTTTCCCAGAAGGCAGCTAATAAAATTTATTGGACTTTTGTCTGCCTGTTTCCTTAAAGTTAAATGTTTGGGGAGCAGTTATATAAAAAAAAGGTAATAGGAAAGTGGCACAGTGTCTGAAAAATCCATGTTTAGCAACGATCTGTACCAACACTGCACAATGAAAGCCATTGTGAGACAATCAGGATAGGTAAAGACTGTGGGTAACACTTAGCAAGAATGCTTGTTCAATTTCCTCTAGAAAAAAGTTTCCTTTGTCTGTACAGAAATGTAAATGATAATACAGGCACTGTACAAGAAATCAATAAAAGTAAAAAACACACTGGAAGTGTATTCGCCTATCAAATCTAACAAGTCAACTGCCTACAGATTGGTCATTACAGAAACATAAATGTGCGCGCACACACACACACTGTACACACTATAGATGCAGCATTAACATAAGTGAACTGTGATTTATGGTGTACTCTAAAAACAAGGCTAGAAAATAGGTTATTCTATTGCTACAGAACTGCAACTACAGCCATTAACCCTAGAAACTATATATTCTACAAATACATACACAAGTTCTAGTAACAGCTACGATCACTCAAATTCTCAGGTCTCTGGTAGAGGAGGAAGAATGAAGGGGGAAAAAAATAAATAAATGAAAAAAAAAAAAAAAACACAAGAAGTGACTTGTGTACATTTATGTGCATAAGAGCATTTCTGGGAAGCTCCCACCCTACATGAGTAGAATGCTCTCCCCGGCTGTTCCCACCTCCGATCCAGTACTAGTACGATATTTACCATAAACCCCAATACAAAAAATAAAATAGTGGCTCGATCCTCCCTTTCCTACAGAGCACCGCAATTATGGAATAACTTCAGGGACACAGTCAGATCTATGATAATATACCTCCGCACAGAATGCACCTGTCATGGTTGAATATCTTTATTACCTGTTATGTATTAAATTTATATAGGTGTATATGTATAGTTTGTATATTGTATCCTATTGTAACAATGCAATATTTTGGAGGGGGGGTGGGGGGGATGACCCAGGACATACTTAAAAACAAGAGAAATCTCAATGTATCCAACCTAGTAAAATATTTTATGAATAAATACATTTATAAAAACGAATTGCACCTTTCAGCCTATAACAGTGGAGAGACATTTTTGACTTAACATTTACAGTTTCTGCCATGTAAATTCAGCAAATATCACCATTTTAGTGAATAACTACAAGGTTGTTTTGAAGAATCTTTACAGAAGTTACATTATATCTCAAACAAAAAGTGAACATTAACAAAAACTTACATAATCTACATTGTAATTAAATATTTAAAGGGAAACTATAGACTAGGAATATAAAATTATATTCCTGGCACTATAATACCCTATAGTGCCCCCTCCCTGGCACCTCACCAGCACATAAAGTGTTATCCACTCTTTTTTCTAATTACATGAATCCCTCAGCACTAGGTCAGGCGGTGCCACCTCAGATATCGGGGACCTAATGCACATGCGCGGCAGCAGTCGCGTTCGCACAGTCCCATAGGAAAGCATTGAATCAATGCTTTCCAATGGGGTTTTGGGTGACGCTGGATGTTCTCATGCATAGCGTGAGGAAGTCCAGCGTCAGTTAGGTGACCAAACGATGACCCAGAAGCACCTCTATTGGCTGTCTAGTAGACAGCCAGTAGAGGTGGAGTTAATCCTGCAATGTAATTATTGCAGTTAATTAGTAACGGAAATCATTGCCATTGCGGGGTTAAACTGACAGGGGCACTGCACCCAGACCAATTCAATAAGTTGAAGTGGTCTGGGTGTATATAGTGTCCCTTTAATTTAAAATACAGAAAACGGTTTATACAATATGGTTTTACTACAATTAAAAATAAAATAAAAAAAATTGTAGTGAACTGAAATCTAATCTCGAAAGTTTAGGATAGAGACAGACATACATACATACATACATAGATATATCCATACAGCTATAACTACATCCTCTACAGCTGCTGGAGGACACTGGAGGAACAAAAAACTATAACAGAGCACAAGAGAATACCAAGAACAGGGAATAAAATAGCCTGCCCTCCGTTAGGTCCTTGCTCAGTTCTCAAGCTGGTTTTAGTTGTGCCAGTACAGAGAACCTGAACTATCTGCATATCACCCAAAAAAGCAGTCCAGAGTCTCCAGATCATTACAAAGAGACTGTAAACCCACTGTATATCAGACTGTACTCTTTCCCCACTCCACACTCCAAAGTTTGCTTAAAGCGGCACTTTAAATCGATTCCTCTTTTCTCCCTCTCTCAAGATCTGTTCATAATTTCTTCCTGTCTGCTCTAGTTTTCTTTAAAACATAAGACAAAGTAGCCTGCCTCGACTTATACTCGAGTCAGTGTCTGTATTATGGCAACTTACTGCCGGGCTCATTACAAGTCTCGCGAGATTTACACTATGAGATGAGGGGAGCTGCTGCAAAGGTAAGTAACAGCTTGCTGCCTCCGCCCACTGCACAGCCCATACCACTGGACCATCAGGAACTGTCATATCCCCCCTCCCTGGCCAGGTAACAAGCAGGGAGGGGGGACAAAAAAAATAAAATAAAAAGTAAACAATATTAAAATAAAAATATTAAAATAATAAAAATGCCCTCCCCCCACCCAGTTTACACACACTACACAAACACACACTGCATTCGTTATATACACACACACACACACTACTGCGAGTAGGGGCATGTCTAGTAAAGAGTGAGCAGCCAGTGGCTTTTTTTTTTTTAAACCACACAGTGACGCAGGCTGCTCACTGTTTAATAGACATGCCCCAACTCGCAGAATAGCAAGTAGGGGCATTCGGGAGATTTTAATCTCCCTTATGCTATTATGGGGGTCATATTGACCCCCAGAGAGTGAGGGAGGACATGGGGGGCTTAGGAAGTGGTGGGGAGCACAGCTCCCTGACGCTTCTATCTTTACATTTTACAAGGAGGGAGCTGCGCGGCGGTAGCTCCCTCCTTGTAATAAACAAAACGAACAAACGAAGACTGATATTCGGTGTTTGTTTGTTCATCTGACATTTCTAACGAATGAATGAATAGATGAAATTCCTGGGCATGTGTGGGTAGATGACGTTTCCCACAGGGACTTTATCTACGCAAACAAAGATGGCGGCGCCCTGAATATAGGTCAGGGCAGACAATAAAGATAAAAAAATAGGTAATGTGTGGAGCATAGGGGCATTTGGGGGCAACTAGGGGGTCAATTAGATTTAGTGGAGTCGGGAGAAACCAGCATTCTTAATATACAGCATAATGACACCGTGATATGGTAAATATTACATGTATTTTAATGTTCCCTTTTATCTCCCAATTGAACAAGGGCTTTGTTTTAAGGGGTCACTCTACACACTCTAGGCAACAAGTGTGTATCTTTGCAAAAGTTGTAAAGCAGAAAGCACACTGCTCCCTTTCACCGTTAAGACACACATAACAGAACAGCCAAGAGTGGTCTCCTAGATCAGAGATAGCTTTGAAAGACTTATCTTCCTTCTGTTCACCAACTATGGTGAGAGACTAATTCTCAGGTGATTGCTTTAGGCGTCCTTGCATTATGAACAGACAGGATGAAAATTCAGCTGGAGCTGAACTATTTATCCTGCCAAATTGGGATAGGCAAGATTAGAGGCTCCTGACTAGAGTTAGAGCCCGGTTTGTGATTGTCCTGCTCATAAAAATCGCTACAGTTTGTTGTTTTGTGTATATATTTGTTTGTTTTTTGTTAGTTTAAAAATACATTATCCACATAGCATGCCACAGCAGAGGTCAGGCATCTACTTTTTACCCCACTCTTGAATTCAACTGGTCAACCCACCATTTGACACATGGTAAAAGGAAACATTTTAAAAGGGCAACCCAGGCAATTTGAACATTACATCTTGCTGGTCGTTACATGGCCTACAGTGTCCTGACATCATTCTTCCCTTTAATTTCAAACTAGTTTGATACAAATTAAGAGCCTACTCCTCCCTGACCACATTGATAATGCATCATTTCATCCAACCTGTATGACTGACTGGCTGAGAATCCTAGGGAGGGTTACAAATGTCAAACTTGTTTTTTGTAACTGGCTTTTGAACAAGCACACAGCAAAATAAAAAACATGATTATATTTCACGTGTCAAAGTGAGAGATATACATTTGTCATAATATTGTAAAGCGCTACGGAATCTGTTGGCGCTATATAAATGGCAATAATAATAATAATAATAGAGTTGATAAACCATACTTAGATAAAATGACCAGATTTAATCTGAAGCAGGGCCATCTGTAATAAATATATGCAGATACATCCTACAATGATTTGATCACAGTACAAACTTTCCATTTACTTTGCAGCTTAAAAAGTGGAAACCTCGATATAAATGTATTAGAAAACTGAATTTTTGGTGCATAAAAGTGGCTGCAACACATTACATGATTTCCTTAAATTATGTTTATAACAATATAAACACCCTCTGAACTCTCTTCCCAAAAATTATAAAGCTGTAAGATGACTACAAGGCTGGTTTAGTGAGGAATGCTTAAATACATATTTTAAATAATATTAAATTGCAGGACTGCTCTATGCACCCATAATTCACTTATATACGACGAGCAGCTCAGGTCATGCAGGATTTTTTCCCACAAGTCTCAGTAACAAGCTATAAGTCCATGATGGAATGTGGAACACAGTGCCAGGAATGTTGCAGTCCGTTACTCCAGCAACCAAAACTCCCAGCACACCCCATTCTTCCACTACCTTTACCCAGCTGTCATAATAAGCACTTACTAAAACACAGTCCCACTCAGTAAACTGGGGGAATGGGCTGCAGTTAAAAAGTGCACTAATGTCCTAACAGGCATATCATACAAAGTGGCGGCCAGCTTCCACTATCTTAAATTGCAGACACACTACAAGTGCTGACATTGATGGGAGTTGGAGTCCTGCCCCCACCTGGCGTGCCAGCCTTGCTATATATTGCTATAGTAGCAGGCCTTGGTGCCTACCTAATATCCGTGTACGTTGCCTCTTCCTGCTCCACCTCCTCTAGCAGCTGATTGCAAGCAGTGTGAGCACCGTGTACACTCGTGGCAGGGGGAGGGAGCTTGGCTCACTGCTCTCTCTGCATGGAATGCTGTGTAACTGGCCATCTGGGCTGCCAAAACAATTAACTCTTTCACTTTATAAACTGCAGGGAATACTTTCTCTTGCAATCATGACAGAGCAAGATATAATAATGATTGCAAAAAAGATGATCTGCGTAATTTTTTATAAATATATATTTTCAGTTATTTCATCTCCATTGGAAACTCTTCCCAGATTCTCACTATACGAAGATGTAATTCTTAACCCTTTCAGTGCCACATGAGTCAGCACATTGTAACAGCTCCTGGTAATGAAAGGGTTTATAGAGCCACTACCAAATGTCCTCCCTGGCACGGAAACAGTTGATACATACCGATTTACAAAGTGTATATTTATTACACAAAAATCTAATTTTTCCCCAACCCATGGAACTGAAAATGGTTAACATATATCCAATGTCAAATTCATGTATGGTACGCAAAGGGTTACCAGAGTCCAGCTTTGAAAGATTTAATTATTTTGTAACCCTTTTAGTTTACAGTCAATATCTCTGGGACTGAAAGGATTGCTATGCTGTCCCTGTTACCCTTAAAGGAGACCGCTAGATAGCAAGCAGACAAATAGTTTCAAGTGTCAATCAATGCTAAGTTTATTCCTGCTAGTCTGTAAAAACTGCAAAACTACAAATAGTGCAAACGGCTATACACAATGATCATATATATATATATATATATATCTCCTGTTCTAATGTGTTTTATACCCCACCTCCTACAGACTGTAAGCCCGTTTGAGCAGGGTCCTCTTCAACCTATCGTTCCTCTAAGTTTTCTTGTAATTGTCCTATTTATAGTTAAATCCCTCGTCTTATAATATTGTAAAGCACTACGGGATCTGTTGGCGCTATATAAATGGCAATAATAATATATAGAATAATAGGCATTTCACAGACAAAGAATACAACAATCCATGAACTTACAGGCATTCAGAAAACAAAGGATAGAACTGCACACTGAATTGGCAATTACTGACAGACTGGACAGCACTTTCCCTATTATCATCAAACTTCCTTATATCACCAGATGGGGTGCAAACATATTAACCCATTATGGGCAGGGGCAATTGTCCAAGTTTTGAACTAGAACAAAACTTACAGGGTTATTCAGTAAAGTGAGAATTGTCCGGCGTTCAAAGTGAATATCAAACTCAAGGCCATAATATTCGAACTTGAAGCATTTTTTACTTCGAGATTGTTTTTCCCAAGTTTTGCTTTTATTGGCCATAAATTTGAAATTGACTTTAATTTCCAGACCATTCTGATTTTAGTGAATATCTCTGCTACAATTTCTTGGCAGATAGGAGGCTCATTATTATGCAATAAATTGTTTCTTTACTATTCAGCAACACGGGGTTAAAAACCAAATTAAACAGCACCCAAAAAAAAACCATTGCTATATCTATTTATATATATATATATAGAATATATAGAACACTAACAACCAATTAATGTAGACCAACGTGAATGGATACTAGCAGGAAACCACTAAAGTGAAATTCAAAATTCAAGTTAAAATAGCCGAGCTGGAAACATTCTCTAAGTCAGTTATGATTTCAGTTTGGCTACTCTGGCCTTACATTTGAAATTCACTTTGAATTCTCACTTTAGTAAGTTACCCTGTTGATCTTCCTCAATGAATATTATAATTAGGCCCCCACCCACCTTCGATGGTAGCCAGTGCAGCCAGCGGGCAAATATTTGGGATTTTTTTTTTTAAACCCTCTAGTGAGCTATCCACATTCTCTGGTTATGATGATTTGGAATCTGCTATTTCTGTTACTAAATATGACACTACAGATGCAGTAATTTTGGATTAAAAAGGCAGGGCCCCTGTTTGGCCCAGACCAAATAAAGCATCCAAGGTCATCTGAATGGGTGCCGGCTATGAATGTTGCCAAATATATGGAACTCTGGGTTATAACATCTTTGTACCAAGCAGCCAGAACCAACAATTTAGTGTTTATATTTTGTTTATTTTGACGTTTTCACACAAACAACGCACTTTAACTGTAATTTTCATTGTACTTACATGTTTTACTGGTTTAAAGCACCAATATTTCCGTTTAATGATGTCTTACAAGTACAACAATGCATGTCCATGTACGGTCTGTAACACATAGGCCAGGTAGAGGTTGTCGGGAAGGGAAATAGAAGCTTGAGTCCCTCCTAACTCTTATTTTGTAACAGACTCTCCACCTTTTCTGGTCTGACTTTCACAAAGTCTCTGAACATCCTCTGATTCAAATGTGAGAAGATAAGGGGGAGGGAGGCAGTTAAAGTGTTACTCTGACCACCATGACCAGTTCTGCTTTTAGAAGTGGTCATGGTAAAAATATATATCTGCAGTGTTTCAGCTTGAGTTTATTTTATTTGGGTGCTGAGGGTAAGTTGCACATCCAGCATGCGTGACCTAGGCATCCCAGAACTCTGTTCCTGACTGCCTAATGTCAATTCTGTGCATATTTTACGCTGGGATGATCCAAGAGCTTTGCCAGGCGCTTGGTGAAGTTAAGTAAAACTTTTATTTTCACCGATTTTAAGAGGGAAACCTAACAGTAATGCTCTACTGGGCTTACAACATTTAATAAAAAACATTTTTTTAATAATATATATATATATATATTTTAAACTAGGTTTTGTTTTTGTGGTGAACCAGAAATGGCTGTATGCACCACATATACTTCCTGTACTCAGCAATGTATTATTTTTTGTAAGTGCACTGAACTGTTGTGCCTCTACGTTTTTTGCCGCATATCAGCTTTTTTTGCATTACACGTTAGGGTTTCAAAATAAAATACTTTTTTTTAAACAAATCTATGTTGGTATAATAATTGTCAACCTACAGATAGTAGCCTTTGTTAAGCAAGGGTAGGAGAAGATTTCACACTCTCAAAGAACCAGAGCAGCCAGTAAATCTTCCCTTCCAATTGCCCAGATATAACCTGAGGACATCTGCCCAATTTATAAAATGTTATTCTATATCATGAATGCTCACATGGGATATAATTTTTTAAAGAAATCTAACCTCAAATTTCATGACAGATTCATCCACACAGAGGTTCTGGTTAGGGGTGTAATCTGCAAACTTTTCATACAGGTGTTTTATCAGTGGTAGTATTGTCTATAGCCCGTCATATAAGGGATCAATTCTAGGCAGCACTGGACATTATCCTTAAAAAGTAGAAAACACAGTAGAGTAGGTGTTCATACCTATCCCTCTTCATTATCCCTGAAAAAAGAGGGGTATCCTAAATAGGGTACTTGTGCCAGCAGAATGGAAGCTGTGATATTTTTTTTTACTATACAAATTACCAACATCAGATCCTAAAACATTTTCATTTATGTTAGGTCAGAGCATCCCAGGTGTTTTTTTGTTTGCTGATGTTAACCAGGATTACCCGACAGATATTGGCTGGCATATAAAATTGTAGCTATATTCTCAAACATGTCTGTCTGGAACAAGTTTAAATAATATATTGCCTTATAAACTGAAATGTGGGTTGTGATGACAAGAGTTACTATAAATGGGGATATTTTAGGAAAGGGTAAATTTGGGGGTGCCCAATTTATGTAAGAAATTGTTGGACATTCTGAGCATTAGACGCCTCACTTAAGCGCTCTATACCAGATGCTGTTAGAGGGTTGTTATTAGATACACCACGGGTGTCACTGTCTGATCCACACATATATAGCAGAATATAATTTAGAATACTTCACAGACACAATGTATCACAGATAGTGATTGTATTCATTGACTGTCACTTTATATCTGTGGTCGTGGTGACCAATATTTCACCAATATTTCATGTACACATAGTTATTAATATGTCTTGTGATAGAATTTGGTTAGTAAATGTGTCAATTGTATGCAACAATGTTTGCTCTGCTCACCCCCTCTGTCTCCATTCTTCGCCCCTCCTGGTTTAATTATCTTCATATAACGGTCTCATTTCCATCCCTGTTCCTTAGGCCTCACTTCATTCACCTAGTACCAAGCAATACTGAATCATTCCATTTTTTATCAGATTACATTTTTCTGGATTGCACATACATTTTATAGGTCTGATAATTTATATACCAGCTGGTCGTGGCGCACCTTCTTTAACCCCTTAAGGACCAAACTTCTGGAATAAAAGGGAATCATGACATGTCACACATGTCATGTGTCCTTAAGGGATTAAAGTTGTGATCTTTGTGGAATGTCTTCTAATGCTAGTGTTTCTCCTAAAGTGTGTGATGCATGGCTGGAACTATAAGAGGATGTCTCTCATCTTCAGACATGTCTGTATATGACAAGCACCCTCCTACTCTAATCAATCCATCTTTGTCAACAAAATGGTTTAAGATTTAAATTAGCCTTACTCAGAAGTGGTTTTTTTCTTTTGACATAGACTTTAACACTGCTAGATTTTTCTTGAGCGAAATCTCATGTACGGCGCAACCTTTTGCAGCAATGCCAGGCTGTACATGAATCTGTTTGTCTGCTGCTGGAAAACCATTTAGTGTTATGAACAGATTTGTAATACGTCTCACAGCAATGTCCAATTCAAGAATCTGAGGAATCTGCGTGAATCCGATTGGCATTCATACACTTGGTTACTAGGACTGTCACTTGAGGTCACTGTATTCACTGTCAGACTCTGGTTCAATGAGGTCAAAGACTTCGGCTTCAGACTGTTTACTTCTAGTCATATAAAATCTGGGCCTGAACACCAGTTGGTGTGATTTAGATGAGCTGATCGTATTGGTCTGGTTCCGTGGTCTGATAAATTCTGACAGATGGTAACATAATGTACTAATCTGGATGAGCTGATTTTCAAGTCTGGATCACTCTGTTTGAGACATACTTATAATGTGTTTGAGAAGTGTTACAAATATAATACTTAACTGCATACAAAATTTATTTCATAATCAGTTCTATCAGCTCAACAGGGAAGACAGCTGGACATAACTTGAATCGTAAAACGGTGTGACTTGGAAATGGAACTAATGGATAGCTCATGCTAAAGCCTACAT